TATATATATATATAAAATCATGTAAAATATATTACATGTAAAAATAATTAATTAAAGATATATGATTTAAAAAAATTATAAATTAATAAATTTATGTATTTTATTATTTAAGTATGTTTTATTATTATATAAGTATATGTATAAAAATATATTTATTTTATATATAAAAGCTAGTCAGACGGAGAAAAAATAACTTTAAAAAGAAAAATAATAATAAATTCGTTTATTTGACAAATATATTTACAAATGTTTGAAACAATTGGATGAACATCCTTTTAAGTATATACCTGTGGCAGGATCTGACTGTGACAGTGACAGGCATCCGTCCATCTAAACTTTCGCAGTTATTATATTAGTTAAATTTGTTTTTCTTTATATTATTTATTTATATTTATACTAATGTTAATGGTAATTAGAATAAGAATTGAAATTGAATTTAACTACCTATTGTCATTAAGTAGTTATATATTTTGCTAAAACTCATAGATTGCTTTAAAAATAACCTAACGGTATAACGCCCGGCAAACTTCTTGAATAAAAAGCGGCGTAGTGGGGGAAGTTTCGCGCACGTACACTTTTAGACAAAATAATTGACCTATTTTGAGTATTAGTAATAATTAGAAATGAAAAAATTCAATTTTAAATTCTAAGAACATGACAGACATGCATAAACAGCTTGTGCAATTTCTTTAGATGATTCTTGTTTCATGAAACAATATACATCTTATACTATTTTCCTGGCTTCTCTTTTTAGAACAATGTTACTTTTTCGTGGCATAGTCAACACAAAAAGTCAAAACAATAACAATCAAATAAAACTTAACAATAATAAACAAATGAGACTCAATAATAAAAACAATAGAAATAAAATTATAAACAATTATTACCAAAAATAAGTAACAGCGAAATTGGGCCAACAAAATTGGAGATAAGTGTATTCGGGAGTAAACGGAACATGGGGAAAGAAGCGGGACGCAAAGGTCGACTGATTAACCAATAGCAAGAGAGCATCCCCCCTTGCCCCGCCAAAAAGACCCAAAAATCGACTTCTACGCAACTAAATGTGTTGTTCAAGATGTTTGCCGGGCGTTATAACAAGGTTGCTGCAATAGCTATAGCAGCAGGTACCCGAAGGGCCCCCTCCTCGGGGGTACAAAAAGACTTCAGTATCTCTTTTAATGCTCAGAACTTTTTCCTAAACTGCAGATTACAATTTCAAACATCTGACCTAAGTACATTTAAATGTCATAATTGCATACTTCAAAATATTCGGTACTTACTTCCTAATTTGTGTTGACGCAAAATTACATCGGCGGAGCTCAAAAACAAAACAAAGACACTTCTCAGGGGCACGGCTGCTTATTGACGCGAATGGATGTGACAGGGGAACAGAACGGAGGCGAGGACATCGTTTACGCGTTGCTCGCATCTACTCTTTCGTGAATAACATTGCCCTCCCTTCCCCTACTAAGGTAATTCCCATCTATGATAATACCTCTGTGGTTCCATTTGAGATTACTCATTACATTCTGTGGGACAGCTATAAGGTCCTCGGTGATAGTGGGTCTCCTTGTTTCACTCCCTTGTATATTTTAAGTTCTGTGCCCCTCGTCGCCACCGACAAATGTAGTGCTAGTATAAGTAAAACTTCTGTTTTGGAGTAGTATAATTGTATTTATAGCTGAGAGAGGACCCAATACGGTCAGCACTGCATACACATTTTATTATTTTGTGTGTCATGTAATTACGTGTTTATTATTTATTCTTTTTTAATTACTTTGTTGTGTGTTTTTTTTTCTCTTATTCCAAATTGTAGTGGTGATAAGATTCAATGTTATTTTATTTATTTATTTATGAAAAAAAATGTACTTAAAAAAAACAAAAGGAACTCACTAGTGTTATAAGGATTACGCAAGAGAAAAAGATAAAGAAAAGTAAAACAAACTGTGCAAAAAAGAGTACGGACCAAGAGTCTGTAGAAGTTGATATAAAAAAAATTCAGAGCCTAATCGATCTAGCTTCACTCTGCTTGTGCTTTTTCTGTATATATCTTTGATTATGTTGATGTATATGTTAGGTACGATCTGCTGTCTCAGAGCCTCCCAGATGCTCCCATGTGAAATAGAATCGAAAGCCTTCGTGTAGTCAATATATGCAAGGTACAGCGTTTCATTAAACTCACAATATTTTTCATTGACTTGCTCGAGGGTATGTACATGATCCGTTGTAGAAAATCCTCGGCGAAAACCTGCTTGTTCTGCTGGCTGACACCTTTCTATATCAGGCTGCATTCTTATCTCTAAACACATAGAAAAAAATTATATACTGCTAGAAGTTTAGTAAATATAATATAACATTAGTATTGTTAGAATAACAGCTTATTACTTAAATAAAATATTACCTATTACAGGACTATCCATTCAACGTGTACATGACAGATTCTTTGGGACTTGATAACGGTATCTTCTCTATTACCGCGTCACTCTTGCAGTCCAAATATAACGAAGATATTATAAATGAACGCTTAGATTTGGCCAACACGTAAGTTATTTATATCAATTCTACTTTTCGAATGTTTTTTTTTAATTAAAAAACGAAACAATAAAAATAATATGAAAATATTAAACATATTAATAACGATTCATTTTCTATTATAGTCGTAGTATGAAAAATAGTTGAAAACTGAACTATGGTATATTTTCAAAGTTTATGCATCTCTTGGAACATTAAAAACTTCTATAACTATTGTTAAGTTTACTAAAGAAGTGTATTCTACAGTTGCACAGGTCGCATGGGGACGAGGGAATGCACTCAGGTCGCATCTGGCTTCCTTATCCTGCCTCCCGTCATCACAGGCAAACTAACAACCAAGAATAAGTTCAACTTCAGGTTCGGCAGAATTGAAATCAGAGCCAAACTAACCGAAGGAAATTGGTTGATACCAGGTAACGTCAGTCTTTTGCTGTACAAACCATGAGGGTATATCTTCCTTGTGGAGCAAATTTTTAATGAATCTTAAAGTAGGTCTACACTAGACGATTCTAGCACGAGTGCAAACCGATAAACTCTACACGCATTGTCAAGTGTGGAGTACTAAATCAATCACTCTCTTCAATCAATGTTAGCGAAATGCAATAGGAGTAGTAGAACACAGGCCAAGCGCTCGAAACGCACTTGTGCCAACACACTAAACGAATTTTGGCTCGGCTCATCTAGCATATACCCACCTGAATGATATCTTAAAATTAAAATCTGTTCAACGTAGAAGAGAACATAAACTCACATGAAATCCTAGAATATTGAAAAGTAAACCGTGTTTGCTTTTCATTTCTGTTTTATATTAACACTGCTAATAGACTTTATGACTTTTGTAGAGATAACGTTGGAACCTCGTGACAGCGTGTACGGCGACCAACGCTACGAGTCAGGTCTGATCAGAGTCGCCTTCGCCAAAGGGAATACGCTCTTTGCTAAGAAGTTGTACGGTGGACCGGTGCTGTCCGATTCGGAACCGTACCGAACCATCCACATGAAGGAGAAGACTGGAATCTACAACTGGTACAAGGACTTCCATAACTACAGCATGGTGTGGAAACCAGGTCAGTAAAGTATCAGTAGATTGCTTTATTTAGTGGGAGGAACATCAAAAGCAGCA